TTGAATCAAATTTTTCTTTATAAATCTCGCATTCAAATTCATTCTTACCAGATCCAGTAATCAAATTTAAATTGGGTCTTAGCTAATTAATATACCCTAGTAACATCATTAGTAGCCTACTGAGGATTCTCGTTTCTTTTGAAAAATTAATATTACTGCTGTTTTGTAGTGGTAGTTCTTGGTCTCTTACTGTTTTAATGACTCCACTAGAGACAGAAAAATAGAATGTCTGTATTTTAATAAAGAAATCTTATATATTTTAATGCAAAGATGTTGTCAGCATTTTAGCATGATACATAAAGTCCAGGACAAAGTTACTTTGGGCAAAACACACAACATCTACCCACTGAGACACCTATACATCAATGAGAATAAATGAGAATATTTATTTCTGACATGCTGATACAGGAAGATTTAAATGCAACAGCTACCCACTGAGACATATATACATCTTTTACAATACATAAAATATTTATTTCTGATATGCTGATATAGAAAGATTCAAAGTTTATTAGCAGGGCTTCTATTTCAGGCAGTTGTAGCTTGGTCACATTCTTTACAGACTTAATTATCAGCTTTGTTTGTATATTTTTATCTATGTGAGATATATTGCCAAATGATTAAAAATGATATTCCACGTAAGGAACCTATAGAAGGATCCTGCAATCACATATCTTCTCATAGTTTCACATAGGGTGCTGTGAATAGGATTGTTTACTTTAATTGGCAAAATCTTTTCTATTGAAATGTCAAAAGGTAGAGACAGATAGGAGCAAATATTTGCCCCCAGTTAGCGCAGTGCAGCCCAGCAAAATCTTAACTGAAGACATTTCCATGGTCTAATAGACACTAATGGTTCACCCATAGGAAGTATTTCCTCGGCAGCAAGTGATGCAGAACAAGAACTTATGGAAGACACAGCCCAAGAGCTACTTGATAATTGGACTCTCGGGACACGCAGTAACATGCTGGGCAACTGTTTTCTGGAAGGTCTTGCCTTGCTGTTGCTAATGCTTTGTTGAACTCTGCACAATGTTCCTCCCTTGTTAGGCTGTTCTACTTCCCAGGACATCTTCAAATAGCAATCAGTTCCATTGACACAGGTGAGGATGCCCTGTGAGATGGCATGGGAGTAAGAAGAATAGGGACAAAACACAAAGTGTTGTTCAAAAGAGAAGAAATAAAAATAAATTCTGTTTACTTTAGCAGAACTTAATTTTAGATTTGGCAAATGATTGTGATTTGAGCCAAAGTAATTTATTAATGTCTCTTCAGTTTCCTGTTTCTTTCAAATTCGGTATAGTTTCTGTCTTTACATCACTTAGTGCTTTAATTGTACTGACATATTATTCTTTTTACCTCATTATTACTAGTATAACTCAGTAGGAAAGTCTTTGAAAAAGAGGAAAATTGTAAGCCTATTTCAGCCAGATGCTCTGGTGATTGTAATAGATACCCTAATTACAACTCAGCTAGTATCATATTCTCCATGGGACTGCCTTTAGAAAGGACTTGGAAGCTGCAACTGCTACAGAAAATGGCCAGATTATTGCCAATGAAGAATAATACTTATTTTATGCTTGCTGCAGTGGTTCTAGGTATTCTTCAAGGGTAGCCAGGATACATCAGGCAACACTTTGCCAATATTGAATTTGCCTATATGATCCAAACATCTAGAGAGAGTCTACTGTGTGTCACATGTTTTCAATTCACATGAGATACATATACAGTGACCATCTTGTCTTGCAAAAATAAAAAATAAAACAGAAAAAGGGGGCAAATCTGAGAAGTTCATAAGGATAAAAAATAGTTTATATCTATAACTTTTTTTTCAAAATAAAATTCAAGGCCAAAACCAGAATACATAATACTCCCCCCCCCCAAGTTCTTCAAAATAAGCTTGCAAAGTGGGTTTATAGCCCCCATGCAAAATTAAGCACACCTTCGAGTTGTACTTGACTCCATCTCTCTATGAATTGCACAAGACTGCCAAAACTGCTTCTTACTGCTCCACTAGCTTGAATTGATTGTGGGTGTCAGTAATCTTAGTTGATTTGTGAGCTTTTCTTTAATACTGATTCAGTTATTTTATGTTGGCTTTTCTGTGAACTACTGGAGTCTTGCAGGATTGGGGAAGTCTGTAAAATACTGCAAAGGGTGTAAATAAATAAAATGCTGGGTGACACAAGGCTATAGATCTCCTGTATATCTGATCCAAACTGAAGCAGTTTTATGCCAGTTTTAGTTTACAATTTCCATTGTCTCGGGCTCATTTTTTATGCCAATGCAGTGTGTTAATGTTAATGTATAAAGATATCCTTGATTTGGGGCTACTATTTTTAAAAGAATACCGTAACCCACAAATTCCTACCTGTTCACCAAAGTCATTATAATAACAGAATAATACAGTTGGAAGGGACTTTGGAAGTATTATAGTTCAACCCTCTGCTTAAGCAGGAAACCCTATACCATTTCAGACAAATGGTTGTCCAATCGCTTCTTTAAAAACTCCAGTGTTGGAGCATTTACAACTTCTGGAGGCAAGTCATTCTACTGATTAATTGTTCTAACTGTCAGGAAATTTGTCCTTAGAGTTCTAGGTTGATTCTTTCCTTGATTAGTTTCCATCCACTGCTTCTTGTCCTGCGTTCAGTGCTTTGAAGAATAGGTTGACCAGAGTAGATTAATAATCAAAGACCCAGATCTGTTGGCTATCCAGAAATAGTCCTTTTTAGTTGTTAGATTTATATTCAACTCTCCTCCAGGAGCATCAGGCTTGGGTGGGAATCTCTCTTGATTTTTCCTCCCATAACAGCAATCCCTGAATGGGCTAAAAAGGAATGGCTGGTCCATTATCACATAGCAGACTTGGATAAGAGTAGTCATGAACCAAAGTTACCACAATCTTACTCTGCCATTTTAAGTACTCTACCTCATTGGTTTTCCTGGAGTAGTTCTCCATTTAGGAATAACTTCTCCAAAAAGTGTGCTAACTTTTATCATCTTTTTGGTGCCACGAAAAGGAAATTTTGTTCTGTCACACATATTACTGATTAGAGCCTTAATTTTACACTTGTATGCTGCATGAAAGTTTTTAATTGCAATAAAAGCTTAATTGTCCAAATTTAGCAGATTTCAGGTACAACAAACTACAATTAGTTCAAATTGAATACCTAAAGAATGTCTGTTGTTTCTGAAATGGTCCAGACAATTGACATAATTGACATAATTTGTATTAGTTTATGCTATTCATATTATTAATGTACTTGTGTTATTGCATTATGAATGTCTTGTGTGATGAAGCAAATGGTATAAATTGATACAGTTCTCTTAAAAGCTTCAATTTTATAATGACATAAATGATACAAATTGATAACATACATTGATACAGATAATGTCAGATTTAACAGTCATTCAGAATTAACTGAAATTCCTTCCCCCAAATGATCTGTTTTTGTTTGATTAAACCTTTAGTTAAAAACCTATATTCTACCCTCTCCTTTTATCTTTTACTATTCTGAATTCTAATTATGACTCTTAATTACTATTCAGAATTTGATGTTCTAATTAAAACTCGGAATTTCTGAACTTTCAGAATTTCAAAATGAACCATATACGTTTTGTAAAGTCTTGCTGAATAATTTAGTTAAATTTATTTTTCAAAAAATCAGATCTCATATCATATTAATATCATTGAATAAAAATGATTTGGTAAAATGTTTCAAGATGCTTCAAATCATCTTGGTGTACCCAAGACCTATGTGTGATACTAAGGAGAAATCCAGATAGCAATGGCTGGGTTCACTCTAAAATAGTCAGGGGGAAAAATGTATGTCTATATGTATTTAAGCAATTTAGCTATGTATTTATGTCCAGTTGTTTAGCTCTTCCTTGTTAAATTCAAAATAGCTACTTGAAAACATTACAAAGCAACAGCTATTCCCATGCAAAATGATGTTTCTGTATCAATAAATTGTGATTACTGTGTATTAATGAGCTACCAGATTGATTATGATAAGGGTATAATGCAATCAATGATAGGAGCAATATGTAATAAGGGGAGCCAAATTGGTGAGGGAGATGGAATGAGCCATGGTGGCGCAGTGGTTAGAATACAGTATTGCAGGCTGACTCTGCTCACTGCCTGCAGTTCAATCCTGATCAGTTCATGGTTGACTCAGCCTTTTATCCTTCCGAGGTCAGTAAAATGAGGATCCAGATTGTTGGAAACAATACACTGTCTCTGTAAACCACTTAGAGAGAGCTATAAAGCATTATGAAGTGATATATAAGTTTAAGTGCTATTTCTATGAACATGTCAGATGAATCAAAGGCATCATGGAAGCACAATTAAAGGATAAATATCTATTCAGCATCAGATGAGGTCATTATAACTTCTCCAATCACAGGATTTATTTTTCTCATATATCCTTTTACCTTTTGAGGAAAAAAAGTAAAGGATGTATATGAAAAGCACAAGTACTATGAGCATAATATATAGAGAACATGGCCACTTTTATCCTTTCTCAACTTTCATATGTGATAAACCAGTTACTCCCATTCTTCCTGAAAAGATACTGAGAACTTTACTTACTGACTGACTGACTGACTGACTGACTGACTGACTGACTGACTGACTGATCAAAAGACCAACCGACCTACTTCATTCTGCATCTTTTTTCTGATGGGTGACATAAATAGGCATGATATTAAGTTATATCCACAGAGGAACTGTGGATTCATTCTGAATTCTAATATACACCTATGTTCATGCTCCATTTTCAATTCATTGCATTTGCATAAATTTAATCCCATACAGTATATATTGTATCTAATTATGTTATCATTAACACGAGCAAAAGCATTTTAATAAAATCTAATCGAAGGCTTTTGCTCAGATGTTAAATCAATAATAGTTGAACTCATCATTGCTGTGTCCAATAGTGTATGTCATTTTTCATAAATCATCCATTTTCATGTTCATCAATCATCCATTACAGCTGGAGAATGGAAACCTGTTGTTGGACATAGAAGAAAATCTTGGTAGAATCACTCAGGTAAGCTAATTGTCTGTTGTGAAAATAATTGTTCATAGAACTTTCAAGGGTCTAAATAGACACCGATCACTTAATGTAATAAGGTAGAAAAATACTGGTTTGTTAATATATTGCATCTAGGAGCAGAAATTGAATAATATTTTTTTTTCATATTATATCAAAGCACATACAAAATGACATATGGGAACTAACAGGATTCACTGTGAAACGTTGTGTGCAAATTATGGAATATAATTTTTTGTACAGTGTGGCCTATGGATTATCTGTATGATCAATTCTTAATGATTTGGTGAAATAGATTTAGATAGAATTCTATGCCTCCAAGAATTTCATTTAGATTTGAATTATGACCATTTATCATGAAGCAATGCTCTAATTTGGCAGATGACCAATAAATGTGTCAATGTAATAAAACATTGGACTATAGCTTATGATGGGGAAACATGAAATTGCCTGCAACTGCTATCTTTTTTTGGAGGAATGTGAGAACATAAACCTTTAAAGGACATTAATTAAAGTTTCAGTCTGATATCTTTAACGTTTGGACTGCAATGAAATTTTTGAACGTTTCTACACTTCTCTTAAAACAGATACAACAGCCTGAAAATTGTCCAGCAAAATTCATAAGAGAAATTGTGTTGAAACAATATAAAAAGTATCATATTGTAACTTTATGAAATTAAAAGTTGTTTAAAATATAAGCTCTTTTATAAGTTTGTTGTCTGGCTCAGTGGCAGAGTTAGCGTCTCCTGAAAATAACATACCATGTTCCATGTACTTATATAGAAACTTTAAAAAAACAGTCTGAGAAATATCTGTGTCTCTATTCAGTGTATAATACACTGTGCTATGAAAAAAAGTTAACAGAATAGCCTAAGATGAATTCAAGGATATCTCAGACCAAGACATAAAAATTGACCTACTCAGGCAAAAACAAAATAAGTACCTTGAATAATTATTATGATTATGATTAATAGGAAGCAATAAGACAATGCAAAAGGGCTGTAGATTAGATACAGATATGAGAAGGATCTACCTTCTCATGAGAAGGTATGCTGCAAGTCAGATAGAGAAGTGAATTAAAGAAAAGTAAGAAGGCATAGATGTAAAACAAAAATAAAGAAAAAACTGGGATAAGTATCTTCCACTGACCCTTTCCTTCTTGGTGATCCCACCTAAATCGAGGGATTGTGTGAGTAGCATTTGAGTGAGATTGTGGGAGTACCATTTCTATATTTGGGACAGTGATTGCAGTCATTGACCAGGAACTCATTAACATCAGCCCTCTCCCCAGTTAGTTTATATATGAAAGAAAATCTGCAAGCTCTCTCTACAAAGCTAAAAGTCTGCAAATCTCCAAAGGCTTCGAATCTTTCCAAAGCTATTCAAAGGGATTTTTTTTTCTTTAAAAAAAAACTATTTAATCTATTTGAAGATTCAGTTCAAAAGAGTGTTTTGGTCTTTGAATCAAGACTCTTTTTTTCAAGTTTACATAGTCATATTTTATATAACATTAATAAGATATCCTTGCTTTTAAATGCAATATATACGCACCGTTCTTCAAATATGAATGGTCTTAAATGATTAGATTTAGTGTGTGAAAGAATTAATGAACTTGGTTTATTTTAAACCAACGTGCGCAGATCCGGGATCCTCCGTATCTCTGTGGGGAGTTTGTTCCAGATAGTAGGTGCCCCCACAGAGAAGGCTCTCCCCCTGGGGGCCACCAGTTGACATTGTTTGGCCGACGGCACCCGGAGAAGCCCCTCTCTATGAGAGCGTACCGGCCAGTGGGAGGCTATTGGTGGTAGTAGGCGGTCCCGTAAATAACCATATATAAATCAAATTTTTAAAAAAAGTTACTATTCATAATTCTCTGATTTTGTAAATTCTCTATTTTCCCATTTGTTTTACAGGGGAAAAAAATCCTCATGCTTAAAAAGAGGATGACCAAGTAAAGGCAAAGAAGTAAACATACTTCATGTTTCTAAAATATGGCATATAAATTAATTGTTCTATTTACATGGAACATAGGATATTTACTGAGTGACATTAGAAATGTTTAATACATAGACTTATATATTTTAGTTTATACAAGTACTGTACATTGGCAAAACATTGGACTAGAAAAATCTATGCAAATGCAAATATACAAATCAGGGAAATGTTTATATTTATGTTTAATTATATTTTATTATATATCCATATTCAGAAAGCTTCAAGATTTAAAATATGTTCATGTTTATGTATAGTTGAAAAGAGCAATGAAAGATTTGAAAGTAAAGTTGTTCAGATGTGAGCAGCTGAAAGCAGGCATAGCCAAAATGATGCCCTTCTATTTCAGTATTTATTCTTCTCAGGCAACATGGCCAATAGGGACTTGTCTGAATTATAGCTTACAAATATCTGTAGCATACCAAGTTGCCTATTCCTGGTTAGAGAAAACACCTGTTTGCAAATATTTAAAATTCAGCAATGTGTTCCAAGGAAAGAATTTCTGCTTATCAATTCCTATATATAAGATGTTCCATTGATCCACTGATCATTTATCAATCCTCATAGGAGCTAGCAGCTTGGCTTATAGTTTTAGTAGGATCACATATAGCATCTCTTATGAACAATAAATAATTGGTTTTGTGACTGTCCAGTTCTCATTATTGCAAAAAACACTTCAATATCAATATTATCATAGGAATGGTTTCTGTTAAATTCACATGGAAGCAGGCAATATTCTGATTTAGTTCAAATAAAATATGTACTTGCAAAGAAACTTATTAGTGTCGAAACAGACCATGTATTTATATTGTCAAGTTAATTTTCTTAATTTCATTATTTGCATGCTAATGCAATTCCTCATCCAATTCATCAGTTTGTCATATCATCATGTTTTCTTTACATCTTTCCATAAATAATTCACTGTGTAGTTACAATTATAACATACATAGGTGTGCTACATTTGCAAATTCAACTGAAGGCTGAGTTTGCTAAGCACTGACTATCATTCAGAACTAGAGAAACATATAACCAATTTCAGTTTACCAAAGATTCTCGCCTTTACAATAATTATATTCTTATAATAGTGAGGATTATCTGAGTTTCAGTTTCAGACATAACATTGTACAACTGGTACTTTACCTCTGAAGCCACAATTTGTATAATAGCATCCTTGTAACCTGATTGTAAAAAGTACAGGCTGCTTTTATTCTTCTTAGAATAAAATTTTAATTAACCAAAGCGCTGCTTTATCAAAGCACACTTGAATTCTAAAAGCTGAAGAAGTATTTTCCCATAACAATTGGGAAATAAATCCCTTTTAAGCAGTAGGAGTTTTCTGTCTTCTTACTACACAAGAATTGCAACCTCAAGAAATGAGAAGCATCTTATTAAATGAAGCTTTTTATAATGCTATGGATCATCCTCCTCTACCCTATCTGGTACTTAAATAAGGAAGGACTAGTAGCATTTTTTATTTTTTCTGGAAAAACTAGTAATTTTCCCTTTAAAAACAGCAGCTACTGGCATTCTCTTGGATGGGGAGAAGCCAGCTGAAAGTCAACTCTAGCAAGATCGAGTGGTTGTAGGTCTTTATCTCTGCCCATCGGGTTAGGAGAATTGACATCTTTGGTGGATGAGGTAAACTCACCCAGATGTATCTGGTGCATGGCTCCTGCTGGAACAGCAGATGGCAGTCGGGACAGAAGAGGTGGTATTTGTACAAAATTCATCTTGTGTGCCAATTGCAAGTATTTCTGCCTTGTTGGGAATCATATACCTTAGTTATCTTCTGTTTGATCATTGCAATATTCTCTAATGGGGCTGCCCTTGAAAATTAGCTGGAAGCTGCAACTGGTCCAAAATGAAGCAGCACATGAAGCTTGCTCTGCAGTTCACCTGAGTCAGGGGTGGGATTGTTCATTGTTAACCATAATTGTTAACTGGATATTAATTTTAATCTGGTTCACCGAACCGGTTGCTGCAAGGACTGGCTGATCCCGCTCACCCCACCCCTCCCTTCCCAGGAGTCTCCACACAGCCCGTTTTGGATGCCAGGTAAGTGCAGGGGCTATGTGGAGGCTCTGGGAGGGCAAAAAACAGACCTACCAGAAGCCTGAAAACGGGCCCATTTCCGGCCTCCGGAGGCTGGGGGAGACCATTTTCATCCTCCTGGAGGCTCGAGGAAAGCTTCTGGAGCCTGGAGAGGGCAAAAAAAAAACAACCCACCCCCCACCCCCGTGGTGCAGGAGGCCAAGTAGGCCACGCCCACCATGGCCACGTCCACTCAGCAACCGGGCAGAGAACCGGTTGCTAAAATTTCTGAATCCCACCCCTGGTTATATCACAGCTACATGAACTGCACTGGTTCCTAGTTCCTTTCTGTGGGAAATTCAAAGTGATGGGTATCACCTTTAAAGTCCAACATGGCACAGGGCTAGGCTAGTTGTCTAACGCCAGATCCTCTCCCTTAAATATTGTCACTGATGGGTCTTTAGAGGCATGCCTTCTTGGTGGCCACTGCAGTCTTGAAATTTGATAGATCCCAACCCTTTTAGCCATTCAGAAGGCTGTGAAAACCACCCCAAAACCAAGCATTAAACTAGGCTAGGTGGAGGTGTTTTAGTCTGGTGGGTGGGCGGAAGGATATTTTTGTTTTTATCTTTGTTTTTATGGATTGTTGCCTAGAATCATTATATAATAAGCAGCCACATAAGTTATGCAAATAAATAAATACTGTTTGGTTGGTTCCTTAAATGCTACAGAAAGGATCTAATTGATTCTTTTTCCATCTCTGAGACCTGTTATTTATGTTAACTAGGCCTCAACAGTTAGCATCCCTTTCCTAAAATGTGTCCCTAAGAAAACAAACTTAAAACTCGGAAGCCACTTTTTTGAACAGTAGTTTCTAAGTCACTTTACACATTCTGGCCATTAAAAAGATACGAAAGATATATTTGACTTTTGAGTATTAGTAAAGATGAAAAGTCCTGCAAAAATGGCAGTTAACATTGTTCATATTAATCATTGTACCTCATTTCCTTTCAAAGGGACAAAACTAAATATCTTTCATTGGTGTTGTTTCTGAAGACTAATCCAGTGCTTGTCAATCCAATTATAGATATTATTACTTTCGTATCTCTTCTGGATATGCGATTAAATGTCATTTTTATTTACACTGATTTCAAATTGTTTTATTGGAGTTGAACAGAAGGCCATCTATGTTTACTGTTGGTTTTATTTATTTGTTTGCTTATTTAGTTTGTAATATTAATATGCCGGTTTTCGGTGGCTTAAAATGGGAAATAAGACAATATTTTGATAATGGAATGAACTATTTCAAACAATAAAAAAGTAAGATAAACCAGTATAGAGCATGAGCAGAAATCAATGCATAAGTGATGGTGCAAAGCTTCGCAAGGATGTTCACAGGCTTTTCTCTATGTTCAATTCAATTAAATACAGGTAGTCCTTGACTTACAACAGTTCATTTAGTGACTGAAGTTACAACGTCACTGAAAAAAGTGACTTATGACCATTTTCACACTTATGACTGTTGCAGCATCCCCAGGATCATGTGACTTTTGTGACTTTCTGACAAACAAAGACAATAGGGAAGCCAGTTTCACTTAACAACTATGCTACTAATTGAAACAACTGCATTGATTCACTTAACAGCTGTGGCAAGAAAGGTCATAAAATGGGGCAAAACTCACTTAACAAATGTCTCATTCAGCAACAGAAGTTTTGGGCTCCGTTGTGGCAGTAAATCAAGAATTACCTGTACAGAAATCAGATTAATATATATATATATGAGAAAAAGATATTAAACATTAAAATGTAAAATACTGCATAATTTTTTTAACATGTTCCCCTAGTACCGAAAAACTGGCAATCAGTACCTAAATAATTTACTTAATGTTGAGAAATTGAACTTGCTTTACCTTTTCCATGGATTAGAAAAATATGGCTAATTCTGTCTTATTTTGAAATTATTTACAGGCTGTTACCCAACTAGAGCTGTTTGGGGATATGTCCACTCCTCCTGATATAACCTCTCCCCCTGTAAGTATTGCTGTTAAAATTGCTGGATTATTTGTTGTATGCCAATGTCAACATTTTTATAATATCAATATATAACACATTTTGATATTCATGAGAAAGACTGAAGACTGAATTTGACGGAATTCCAAAAAGAGTTACAGTCATGTTATCCAGTTTGAATTTCTTCCTCTATAACATTGCAAATTATCTTACTTTTAAAACCCTAATTACTTATGCTAATCCCCTGTGAAGTTACTAAAATTACACAGCCTTAGACTTTTATGAAGAAACAGGTGCTGAAAGAATTTGCATATATTTTAGAAGTTAAAAAAGAACACTTTCAGATTTTGCCAAATATCTATAAATTTTATGAGAATTTGGTGATACCATTTCTCGTCCTGTTTCTAATGATAGGTAGCTTTCCTTGTCACTTGTTCACATTTATCCCCTCTCCCTTCTACTACTCCCACCCATCATCCACTGTTGTCTTTCCTTGTTCATGCACTAGCTCTTTTAATTAGAGAAAGGATATGGAACTAGTTCTTGGCAGTGAAAGCAGCATATGAAATATGACCTGTGACAGCTTATCAAGGGATTTTAATTGTTTCTTGTTTTATAGACCCCTGCAACTCCAGGTGATGCCTTTATCCCATCTTCATCCCAGTCACTTCCTGCTGGTACAGAGGTATTTAGTTCTGTACCTTACAGCACTGCTGCTGTACCCTCAGGTAAATCTTTTCCATCAAGCTCTTTAACTGGAAATTTGAAGCTCAATCTGGGACTTAGGGATGTTGTTGTGTTACACATCAAAACATTGGAAGCCCTAGACAGATCTTGTATGATTTGTAATTTTAGTAATTAGATACTGATTCATACCTCTTTGCTCCCATATCTGTAACATATGAGCCATTGCAGAGCTAATATCACAGACAAAATGTTCACCTCATCTCAGCCATTTTTTTTTCAATCATTCTTATTTTGCAAATTTGGGGGAACCCTTGAGAATTTGATTTCATAATCAAAGTAATAAATCGCTCTTAATTATTAGAAGACTGTTTGATCCTTAAGATTATTTCTTTTTCTTTTGAAGAATCAGTTGCACTAAAGGATGAAAACTATTGTTCAGTATTCTTCAGAGACCAAAATGTAAATTTTGTTAATATTGTGCCCCACTTTTGAAGCTCAGAAAGGTTTGCAGATGTTAAATTTACTTGTTTCCTGCTATTTTTGAATTCTAAAACAGTTGGCACTGACCCACTGCTAGGTCAAGGTATAATTTCATTTTTATGCATAAGGTATGCGTATTTTAGGCTGTACATAGCTCATCGTCTAAAAGCAAAATTCTGAAACATTCCTATGCAGAAACATTTGAATTTACTTGGATTTTGGTAATTAATAATTACAATATCTATGACTTAAATACTGGAATATAATCCAGGATGCTTGGCTGTAGTCCCTCTTCATCTGGATGATTTTGAATCAGTTGCTGTTTCTCAAGTAGACCAAATTTACAGGGTTGCTTGAAAATAAAAAGGTAGGACTATTTATCTGAAAAGAAGATAACCCTGACAATCACCATCTAATAAAGATAGACCAAAAAAAAAACTGTAAACACTTACAAATTATGTACTTTTACAATAGTTTAAACATACGTTCAAATCAGCCATAAAGTACTTACAAAAATAAAAATAAAAGTTTTTGTAATTTGTTCCACAATCCCCAAACTTGAATATATCTGAAAATAGATATATAATGCATGCAAGAAAATCTAAGAATATTTCTAAACCAGAAGAGTTTGACAAGAAAGATAATTCTAAACACAAGAATAGAAGGACTTATTATTTGGCTATAGAAAAAAAAATGGAAAATCTTATTTCTGCCAAAGCAGGTATTACAAAGTATTGACTGAAAGGATGTTTAAACTTCTCCATTTGCTATATACACTGTTATTGTAATCTGTAAATAGCTGTACATTACATAAATAATACATGTGTTGAAGTTGCATCAGGGTGCCATGTTTACTTTTGTGCCTAGTAGACATTGTGTTAGATGACCCTGCTCTTACATTGATGTTAGTTATAGATTCCCTTTACATTCCTGTGCTTCATGCAAAATAGAAGCAGGTGATAGTTATCAACATCATAATCAATGAATGACTTGGCTTTATTAATCAAAGAATAACTTTGGTACAAAATAAACAAAAAGAATCTTGTATTTAAATGATATTCTTTAGATATTTGAATTCCAGGCATGAATGTGGGAATTACTGAAGTAATGTCTTAAGATACAATATGTACCCAGCAAGTTGATTTTTATTTTATTTTATTTTATTTGTAAAGCGACAGTTGACATAGATGATGATGACAGCAATGATTCAAATATTTGGAAGTATAACAATCATTGCACTCGGGTTTCCCACAAACATGAACAGAGAAATTTGGTTGATTTTAAGTTGACAGCAGTTTTCATTAACTGGAGTTATAAATGCTCACATGAGTGTTACTATAGCTTCTCAGGCCTGTCCCACCATGGCAATCTGAGGTAGTCAATCACTTCTTAAGGTTTAAACTTTGAACAAATCCCATGGCTTTGTGACTCAGAGTAATATCAATTTTAGCTAATTTAAGTCATAACAAAAAAGTAATATCAAAGTTCAGAGATCCTTGAGGTATAGTAGTAACTGTCTCTTCTAGCAATAGTGGTGAATATCTGTAGCTCAGATATAGGATGAGGGTGAAGGTTCATTCTCCGAGCTTGTGTGTTGGTTTCCGAACATTTCATTACCAGGCTAAGTAACATCTTTAGCCGAGTTTAGGGAATGTCAGTATCAGTGTTCTTCTGTTTATAAAGGCTTCAGGTGTGGGTATGTCAAGTGAGGGTCTTGTGGTAGGGAGGTTACTTCAAGTCAGGATCATTGGGAGGCGAACTGCTGATGGAAAGGTTGTGTGGGTTGGTTGAGGGTCAGTGCTGTCTCTGGTTGGATGTGCAGTTGATTTGGATTCTGAAGGGTTCGTAGGCTGCTTGTAGGTCAACGTGACTGTTGATGGAATTGCTTGTGGAGTGCCAGGCTTTGATGAACTCATGAGTGTGGCAGGTGGTAGCATGGCTGACCATTTTTATGTTGCTCCAATTGAATTCTTCTAGCTTCACAGATGCAGTGGTTGGGTCTAAGGAAGTCTTATTTTCAACAAATGGCTTGACCCTTTTTTCTGTAAATAACATTTCATCTACATTTGTTCTACTGGCATTGTTAATATGTTCCTTTACTAAACTCTTTTCTGTCCATTGTAAGATAAAGGCCAAAAAAAAGAGCATTACGTTCCAAGCCTAAAGTGTATACCTATAGATCTTTCAGAAATATTCTATATTCTAACAAACTGTTGATCATTTCAATCTGGACTTATGAACTCATGGGCATTAAAATAAACATGACTGAAAACATTTTGTTGCAACTTGCTTGCAAATGCCATGTCCCATCCATTCCAAAGTAAGTTTGTGGGTGAGGAATGCAATTCCACATAGTATGGAAACTAGTATATGTGCACTTATACACAAAGTTTGGAAAATTATAATTTTGCTATATCATTATCTCTATCTCCTTCTCTCTCTCCCCCCCCTCTCAAAATATTGCTTTCTTGCAGCTTATATGAATACATAACTGGATGTATAGTTGTCATTTTTCAAAACAGGGATAAGGAACTAGTTTCTTGCATAAATCAGCACCAACTGCATAAATCTTTTCAGGATCAAAATTACTTGGGTGATGGAATATTGTCAAAAATAAAAGAGGAAATAAGCAAGTTTGGTTCTTTAAAAAAGGAGGTTAGGAACAACTTAGAAAACCCCTTTTCTCCTAGGTTAGGAGCTATGATGAATAGGCAACAGATAAAAGAATGTTGTCAGTTAACCAACTTACTAAAAATAAAAGAATAAAGCAAGCTTCTGAGGTGTTTATAATTGAAAACCAAGCTACAAACACTGCAAGCAGAGTGCAAGTTGCTATGATCTGTGCCAGGGTGGATAATTGAGATGGAAAGTGGGTGACTATCTCAAGTATTCTGAACAAGAGAATCTCTGATCACATAGATTCTCATGAAAAAAAAAAAAACAGAACTGGTTCACTCTTGTCCTGCTACAGGAAATACGGTTTTGTTAAGACCAATATAGTTTTGTACTAGCCTAGTCATAGCATCTCAATTTTTATTTATTTATTTTATTTATTAAATTTATATCCCGCCCTTCTCCCCGAAGGGACTCAGGGCGGTGAACAGCCGAGAATTAAAATAACATGCAATATAAAAGTTAAAATAATTAAAAATAGATTAAATTAAACGGCCGCCCCAATTTAAAACCCCTAGCAATACAATTAAAAAACCCCTAAAACCTATTCAGGCCAGGCCGGCTTGCTGAAATAAAAACGTCTTCAGGGCCTTATGGAAAGTGCGGAGATCCGGAATCAGCCGTATTCCGGGAGGTAGCTCGTTCCAGAGGGCGGGTGCTCCCACAGAGAAGGCCCTCCTTCTTCTGATTTGATCCTTCTTCTAATTTTGTTCATCAGTCTAGTAGTAGTATATCTGTGAAGCACATGAAGTCACTGCTGAAGGGGTATCTGATCAATCTGTGTTTTGTTTCCGTTGCTCTGTTTTTTGCCATTCCTGATCTGCAATTGTCCTCACTGCCCACTCTCATTTTTCTTTCCAAAGGTTATGTTGCAATGGGAGCTGTCCTGCCTTCCTTCTGGGGACAGCAACCACTTGTTCAACAACAATTGGCCATGGGTGCTCAGCCTCCAGTTGCTCAGGTGATGCAAGGAGGACAGTCAATTGCATGGGGACAACCTGGGATGTTTCCTCCCACCCAGCAACCATGGCCATCTGTAGCTGGTCAGTTTCAGCCCGCTGCCTTCATGCCAACACAAACTGTTTTGCCTTTACAAGCAGCCATGTTTCAAGGTACCATTGTTCCCACTGCTACTGTTCCACCTACCAGTGATTCCACTAGATCAAGTCCACAGACAGATAGCCCAAGGCAGCAAGCTGGAAAAGAAATGTTTAAAGATTTCCAGATGGCTCAGGCACCTCCAGTACCATCACGAAAACCAGATCAGCCTTCCCTCAGTTGTACCTCAGAGGCCTTCTCCAGTTACTTTAACAAAGTTGGAATGGCACAGGAAGCAGATGATTGTGATGACTTTGATATCTCTCAGTTAAATCTGACTCCTGTGACGTCTACAACACCATCAACAAATTCACGTGAGTATCTGCTCTAGCCTTGTTTCTCTTTTCTGAGCCATATGCATTCTGTTTGAAAGTGGGAAAACATGAACTTCAAATAACCATGTCAGATTTATGGAAATCTGTACATTCTGCTTTCATGAATTTCACTTTGAATAACAATGTAATGCTATATTAAAGAGGAATAAGAACCAGACTAGATTTGTATTCAGTAGCAATTCAATACTTTTTTTCTCTTCCAATAACAGCTATCCTTGATGTAGTGATAACTTGCCGGTTTTGAATTCGGAATCTCCAGCCTTACTTGATTATTGTGATAGCATTATTGCAAAAACATTTTATGTGAATCAATCCATGTATGACAAATTGCAGGTGAAAAATATGATATTCATTCTGTGCTATGTGTACATCTCTTGCAACAGTTGCCTATCAAAATAGTCGAAAGCAATATTGTTGATTTTAGATTTGATTTCTTTCACAATATTATTTAGTTATTTTAAATACACACATGGCTCTCCATCATATATAAAACTCTGTGTGGCTTCCAATCACTAATTAAAACAATATCAATAATAAACTGACGTAACACATAAATATATTAAAACCATAAGTATTAAGCTCCTGGACCAAAGTTAAGTTTCTGACACACAGTTCTTTATAAAATACTCTCACTTACCTCAACCTATCTCGGTGCTTGGTGAAAATCCGGGTTTTCAGTGCTTTTCAGAAACTTGGGAGGATACTTCAGGGTGAAGAATGTTCTATAGTGCAGGTATGGAACAGCACACTTCCTAGCTCCCATAAGGTGGCAATGTTTAAGGGAAGGGACTAGGAGTGTGCTCATACTATCTGATCTGGTAGGATGGATAGATGTCCTTAGGGAGAGGTGATCCAGCAGAAAATCTGACCTTGAGTTTTAAGGATAATCAGCACCTCCCAGAAGAAAACCAAAAGGCAGTGCAACTCACACAACAAAGGTGTTATGTGGGTAAATCTGTGGGCACCCAACACTGTATCTGCTGCTCCATTCCGGTCTGGTGGCCTTCAAAGGTAGCATGTAGAGTGCATTGAAGTAATCCAAATGGAAAGTGACTAAGGCAGGAAAGACCATGAGCAAAGACTCACAATCTAGGAAAGAATGTAATTAGAACATCAGACAAATCTATGCAAAGATCCCTCTAGCCAACTCCTGCGTAAACAGGAATCATGAATCTTGGAGAGCCTCCAAATTGCACATCAACTCGGTCCAGGAAAGTGCCACCCCATCCAGTGTTGAAGATGAAATATGATCTGGGCCTGGGGTACATAAACCCAAAGCTACTCCATCTTGCCAGGATTCATTGAAGCCAGTTCCTTCTCCATCCAGACCCTTACAGTCTCCAGGCACTCAGCCAGCACCGCCACAGCATCATCTGTCTGACTAGAGGTAGAGATATATAATTGCATATCATTACCCTAATTATAGAGATATCTCAATCAGTGTTGGTATCAGCAACAACAGCAGTAATATTGAAGATGTGTAGAAGACTGTAAATACTAAAATAATATATATTGTACTTTTTAAACCTGTTAGAATCAAACTGGGGTGCAGCAACCTGGTATGCTTCCCTCCCTCCCCTCAGTTATATACTGTCAGTTCTTTGTCAACGGACTTGTCAAATGAAGATTGAAGCATGAATGATTTTTGCTGAAGCAATAAAATTAAGGTCACATTTTAAATCCTATTTGTTTTAAAGTATTTAAGTGAGTGGTCTCTAAGCACTTTATTAAGGAGAATCTTAACTTTTAATTAAGCCAACTTGTCATAGCCACATATGTTTCATCACACAGGATCACCCAAGTTCACAGATCACCCCATTTTTCTCACAACAGTTCAAGCAGGTTACCAAACGACATTTAGAATCCACAGCACTAATTTTTGTTATTTATTTGTTTGATTGATTGGTTTTGTTAGCCCCAACTCCTGCTCCTAGACAGAGTTCTCCATCTAAATCCTCGGCATCTCATACCAGTGACGCTGCTGCAGATGACCTCTTTGAAGAGGGCTTCGAAAGTCCAAGCAAAAGTGAAGAGCAAGAAGCAGTAAGTAACCCAGCTCCCGTTTATTGATATATTCACTTATTTATTTCGGCTGAACCGTTAACATGATCCATAGATTTGTACTTTTAAATTTTAAGAGAAATATGCATGTTTATATGTAGAGAAATTGTTTAACTTTCCCACTTCCTTTCCCTCTCCCACCTCTGCCACTTAAAGTTCTTTCGCTATTCTCTTGGTTATTCACCACTAATAACATTTGTGGAGTATGGTGTACAGCTTTCTGATCAGCCCTGATGTGTACTAATTAAATACACCAGTCTTATATAGGCAGTCCTGGACTTACGACCACAATTTAGCCCAAAATTTATGTTGCTAAGCGAGACATTTGTTAAGTGAGTTTTGCCCCATTTTACAACTTTTCTTGCCTCAGTTGTTACACCAGACTCACCAGAGTGGTGTGTGTATTATAGAAGAATTAAAAGAAAAGAAGAATTAAAGGCAGTGCACCATAGCTTGACATTTACATCTACAAAATGTCAGTTTATACAGTTTATTGAGGTGTTTCTTCTTTTTATTGGTTTCTATTAAACTGGATCTTCTTGGTTCAATTCTCTTGCTACCTCTTAAAAGAGATAGGATTCAAGAAGTATTGAAAGAGGGTAATATGAAAGGATATAGAGTCCCTTTAAATGTATGGGTCCTAACTGGTAAAGACAAAAAGATATACAGTGCTACCTCAGTATTCATCATTAATTGGTTCTAGGAGGTGCAACAAGTACTAAAAAGAAGTACCAAACAAACCATGACTTACCACATGATCCTTTTTCCAACGAGGAAGGAATTCCTGTCTGTCCTTTTAGCTATGTCAATGATCTTCCAGCATGGCCAACTTCCTAGCCATCTACGGCTCTACAGCTATCCCCTGCTTGCTTTCTTTTTCAACAACCTTCCTGACATGGCTGATTTCCTGTCCATTGTCCATGGCCATCCACCTCTTCCTATCACAGCGTGCCAAACAAACAATGAATACTGGGACAACATTTTTACATCAAAATGCATTGAGCACCAAATTCAACAGGTTTTGAAGCAATCGAGTACTGAGGTACCATTGTAAGGACCAAAAAGTCATAGGCAATTTAAGAAGTGTGCAAAACATTGTACCCTTCCACTTAAAGGTATGGTGACATTTTTAGTTCATTCTTGTCTAAGTTGGGTTATGAGATCTGGCTTGTATAAATCTGGGTGACCACTGGTTTGCAGCAAAAATCGTATATCTTTCCTATTATCAAATGGCTGTCATTTTTTTGTGTCTTCCTTTGTACTGCAATCCAGATTATCTGTCAGCTCTATCTATTGAGCCAAATTTAAAATCTGTAGCACTACCTAGACCTTATCACAGTTTTCTTAAATAGAAAAGGAAGTAGGATTTGAATGCAAAATGAAGTATTTCAATTGCACAGAGAGAGCCTTTGGGTGACCTCTATGGCTTAATACTTCTCTTAATACTCCTCCTTCTGTGCTTGAACAAGGGAAGGAATTAGTTGGAAGCCATACCTAATTTGCATTCAATAAGAATGTATTAAAGTTGAAAAAAATAATGCTCAGGAAAAGGGGGTACATATCATTACAAACTAATTTAACATCATAAAATTGTACAAAAAATTGGAAGATGATTTGAAAATATATATTATGTTTATATAAAATAATGTAATAAATCAGAATAACAAAACAACAGAGTGACTCTGTTCAAAAATACATTTCTTTAAAGAATTGTTTTTATGTCTACAAATTAAATTTCCCTTAATAAGCCATCTGCCTTGAGTGGTTTTACTTCACAATATTTACAATACTAGTGTTATCCACAAACATGGACTGAACTAAAATGTTACTTGTAAATTGGTTTTATATTCAGGATGGCAGTTTCTTTCTTTTTTTAGAAGTTTCTTTTTTTAAAAAAAAAATTCCCACTGACTTTCTACATTTGGGGAGGGATTTCCCTGGGGGAAGTTTTGATCATGATTCTGATTCTCAAGGGCTGAGATAGGTTTTCCCCATCCATTCCTTAAAAAAAATAGTGCACATTTCCCTAGCAATACGATCATGAGGACTGAATAATCCCATAAAATCAGGGTCATGGGTATTCAATTCATTTTGGCCTTTCAAACCACAGTGGGTAAACTTTGACGAAATGCATTGATGGCATGAAAATAACCTCTGATGTTGTTTTCCTTTCTGCTGTTGAAAAAAAAAGGTGTTATGTTCTTATATTCTAGCCTGATGGATCTCAGGCCTCATCCAACAGTGATCCATTTGGTGAACCTATTGGTGATACTGTAAGTCCACAGGGCGATAGCTAGATAGCGCAGGTTGGGGTAGGTATCTGTCCTTCTCTCTGTCTCTTTCACTCACTTACTTTTCAGCCATACTTTTTCACTATTGCCTGTCTTCATTTTCTTGGATGCTACATGTGCAGAATTTCATTTTTTTTCTCACTTCACTACTTCTCACACCATAATTCCATTTGCAGGTGATGTAAAAATACTGGCTTTTGAAATTACAGTATAATAGAAAGGGAAATACGTATTAAAGTGAAACTGGAGATTGTGACCATTAACCAGGGAGGAAATCATGCATTTGTTAGTGTCAATCTCCAATTTCTGGTATTCATGATGAGTTATAAATATTCTATACATTTATCAACTGTTGGTTAAAACGACATAATCAAAATTGAAATATGGCTTTCCACTCCATAGCTTATCAATAATCTCTTGAAAAATTTACTAACAGTTTTGATTCAAAATTGTTATTGATATATATAGGCTGTTAATTCATGCAGGAGTCTTGCTATCATTCCCAACTATTGTTTAGTTATACATTTTCCATTACCAAATTTAAGGTGACATTTGTTGTAATCATTAATGGCTCACTTTGCATGTTGATAGACCGTTTTAAAAATGACTGTGTCTATTTTTATACTGGCATGTGTTTTGTCCGAATGAAAGGTGCAGTGCTTGTGAATGCTGAACATACCCATCTGATTTCAGTTCTGCTATTGCCATATTAAAATATATATACTTCATACATGGTGAATTGAACAAGATTAAACGTGGTGTGATTTACTATTCCTCTGTCTGTATAAGACATCTGAAGCAAATCTGTAAAAATAAAGGAATTATTTTTAGTGCATAAAGTATAGTGATTTCCAGATTTAAGAATGTTAACACATTGCTAATGTGTTTCACCAGTCACAATAACGGAGTACACTAGGCTATCCTGACCAGCATATTCTTGAACTTTATCCTTGAACTTTATTTATTAAAGACCACAGCCGTTCAGGATTGACAGGAGGGGGAAAAAAGGAAAAATAACAATGATTCAAGTCAGCTTGTGTTTCAATGTTCTGATGAAATTGATAAAAATGCAACCACATCTGAAACATTTTTATCCCATTTTTGTTGCTTTGCACAATTATTAATAACTCTGTCAGGCTGATCATTTTTCCTCTGTTTTTAAATAGTACAGTGCCAATGCCAACAATGACTAACTTTATATTGTTATAAACTTTCAAAGAGATCAAGCAGGTGAACTAATTTACTTTTGTCTACCATGACATGACTGATTTTAAATTTGTCCACTATTGAACTATCGGAACGATTTTAAATTTGTCCACTACTGAACTATCGGAACAATTACCCTTTTCTCTCTCTCTCTCTATTAATTAAACAACATTAACAGACAAAAATATCCTTAAAAACCATGAGCAAAGCATTCATTTGCTGTTTTTCATTTTGGCCTCTGAATGTGGAAGAGGAATCGTTAGTCTTTCCATTTTGAAATAATCTCAGTGGAGAAATCTATTTTGAAAGTTTTTTTCCTTTTTTTAATATTAAATCTGTAAATTTGGAGGACAGAAATGCTTTACATTCTAGTGAGTGGATTCCCACTCTCAGGATTTTCTACTAGTGAAATTATGAAAGCAATGTGCTTTTCTTCTCCTCCAATAAAGATCTTGCTTGGAGGTTTGGATTTTTATGGATAATAAGAGAGTGATTAGGGATACCAGGGAAGTGTTTGTTCCTTAATACAGGGAGGAATACGGGAAGAAATACTTCTTCACATCTATTGGATCCTGATTCCTTCTGTATAGGAAAGGACTATCTCTTCATGGAAAGGGTACTCTACAGGGGTCTCCAACCTTGGCTTGGACAAAGCTGGCTGAGGAATTCTGGGAGTTGAAGTCCACACGTCTTAAAGTTGCCAAGGTTGGAGACCCCTGCTCTAGATCAACCTATCATAGCAAGTCTATTTATATTCTAGAATGAACTGTCATTCCCCATTTGGCTTTAGATTTGCTCCACATTGTTGTTTGCGATGTTGTTTAGACCCTTTCTTTTTTCACCTGATAATCCTTGATTTCATGCACTTTCAATGTTATAAGCATTTCTTTTTCTTTTCTTTTTTTCCAATTCTTTTTTCTTCAGTAAAACTTTTCTTTAAAATCTTTGGATTTTGTCAGTAACTGAGTGTTTTATCAATTTTCAGTTCATAGATTATTTTATTCTTCTCTACTTAACAGTCTTAGAGAAAAGTTTTCCAATTTGAAATCACAGCTATGTTTTTTAAAGACTTCTCACAGCCAAATCTGGAATCTGCTCATAAATGAATTATTTCCCCTTGATTTATTTTTCAAAGCAAAAACTGGGAACATTATCTGGGTACCTGCTTTGAAATTACAAGAGCTCCTTCTTGGATAACATTATCAGTTTCTAATTCAAATTGAGATGTAATGGAACACTATAAAACAATTGTATGCTTAATATTTTCTTGTTTCCGCTAAAATTATTTCTGCATATTTTATAGCCATCGTAAAAATATGCCATTTTTTTTCTTTTATCCATTAAGCCAGAGCAAGAGTTTTATAATATGAGACATTTTCACGTTTTGTGTGTCAGATCGTGGCAAGATTTTCAACATAAGGCCACAATTAGCCTCTCTCCTCAATATTTTTTCATTTAGCTACAGCTAAAACTACTACTGAGCAGAGAAAAAAGATAAAATCTATGATGTTACAGTTTTAGACCTGCTTTTTTCTTACTAAAAGGAGACTTGTCACCTGCAGGAGCGAACCTAGTCTTTTACTTTACTCAGTCTTGTAAACAACCTGTTAAAGGAGTTGTACTGGTCAAATATAGTTAATCATAAAAGTAATACTGTCCCAAAGTTTCAAAATACTCCAGTCTTTCTTCCCTTCAAAAAGAAGCTCTTTTTTTTTTTTAAACGGTTCTAGGGCATTTGCCCCATCTCTGTCTCTGCAACCTCTCCAACTGCCCACTTCTGCATCTATAAAAATACAGTTAGAACAATTAATCAGTGGAATGACTTGCCTCCAGAAGTTGTGAATGCTCCAACACTGGAAGTTTTTAAGAAGATGTTGGATAACTTTTGTCTGAAGTGGTGTAGGGTTTCCAGCCTAGGCAGGGGGTTGGACTAGAAGACCTCCAAGATCTCTTCCAACTCTGTTATTCTATTCTATTCATAATTAATCACTACATAAAGGAAGACCCCTTTACCATCAAAACATAGAAAAGAGCTGCCATACCTCTCAGTTCCTCTTGCATCAAGCTCTTTAGAAAAATACAGAGTGTAAAAAGATTTTTTCTTAGGACAGAAGTGCTATTCCCTTGAGCTTCCTTATCTGCTATTAAATATTTATACAGGGCTTTTCCTTCTGAGTGGGTGGTCAGGAAATAGATGATTTATTTTCTCAGATTATTTTCGGCTTTTTTATTAGCCAGGCAGAAGGAGAATATTCCGCTAAATATGCTGCATAAACATGGACAAACAAATTCATAATACTTTTTTTTCTGCCATTCTTGTTACATTAGGAACAAAAATCCATCTATTGTATAGTATACTTATCCTTTACCTTAACAGAGTAGTGGTATAAGCAGATCAGTTACATTACATCCATTAATCATTTTAAGTTTCTTAAGTAAAATTTCCTTAGTAGAATAATACGGAATGCAATATATTCACTAGTTTGAAAGCCAACCTATATAAAAGTTTTGAATTATCCTTTGGGGGCTCTTAATCTTAGGAAAACATAGAGGGACACAGAACATTTGAAAAAAATAAGACATGCTTCTTATTTCTGCCAAATAGACATGACAGTGGAAAATAGCAAGGAACATAATAGCAGAGATTCCTTAGGAAATTTGTTTAATACAAAAGCTATGAAGAATATTAAATTTTGAACATAAAAATCAACTGATATTCTGGAATAATTTTCCATGCTCAATTTTGTTTAATATTTTCCCCCAGTGTCTTATCTGAATCTGCATTTACTGTAACACAGATCTACTGAACAAATTGGTTAGTATTAATATGGTTTTTCTATTTTATGGGGTTTTTTACCAATTTTTACTTATGGAAAACTTTAATTTTGCACATAGATAAAAATGTCAAACATAATTATAGTTCATTTCCTAATTTTTTTAATATTGATTTTGAATAACATTTTCCAAAATGCTGATCTACTGCAAGCATCTTCTGTTACAACATTATTTCCATCTATATATTAACATCTTCATCAACATTCTGAACAACAACATTTGACAATTCCTACTTGATTTTCACACTTACGAATCAAGAACTGTTTACATGGAGAATAGTTAATTGGTTCTTTTATAGGGGGCAGGAGAATGGCAAAATCTTTGTTCCAGGACAGGGATTTCCAATTATTTTCAAGTTTTCGAATCTGTTAGTTAAAAAGAAAACTTTCTGGACCCCTCATCAAGAGACAATATTTTAGTAAAAGAAGATTGATTGTGTTTAAGTGAACATTTCCTTCCTTTAGTCTATCATGGAACACAATCAAATTCTCCTGGAGCTTTCAAGTTCAAATCATTGTCTAAAATCTTGTTCTAGTAGATAAAATTGAGTCTATCCCAAAAAAGAGTAGAAGACTACTTAATGAAGCAAAATCTGATTAATAAGAGTATTTTGTCCCTTATTTTAAAACGTGTGTGAAATGCAAAATTTGCTGCCCTTTTCCCTACTCACAGGTTGTTTAGATTACAGTATAAAAATCAAACTACATGTTTACTCAAGATGAGAAGTAGTATTTTACCATTAATTGAGATTCTTAAAGAGTAAGCAAATGGGATTTATCTCCCCCCCCCAAAGTATTTGCATTGTATCAGGGGTAAAAAAAAAATCAAATGCTAGATATAATCTTTAAAAAAATGTGAGTAACTTTCAAGTTCTCCAGAATCATCATTGCTTCTATGAACAAATGATTAAAAACTGATGGGAATAAAAAAATGTAACTGTTGTATATTAGAAAGCTTGATACCTTCTACATGCATTGGACTTTTCCATAAACCAAACTGAGCAAAGCTCTAGCAATTATGGAAACTCAAATCTAATACATCTAGAAGCCTAGCTTTAGAGTATGTTCTCTGCACTGCACTAAACTTCCAAAGATGATGAGATACTGACTTTAGTTTATTGTAACAATTTTACCAAATTGCATATTGCTGCTTTCCAGGTTCATTAAACCGTCTTCACATTGCTTGACATTTGCATAATCAATATTTGCGAACATTTGTAATGCATTTCGTCTATCATAGTTTGGAAACATCAGAATTAAAATTATTAAAGTTTTGAATTTATATTATATTTTGGAATTCTAAGGAGATACTTATTCTGTTTTTATTGATTTTTTTTACTCTGTTTCAATTATTAGCTTCCCAAAGTTATGTATATAAGATGGGCCAACTATATATTAATTAAATAAATACATAAATGAATAAATATTTATTGTGTCATTCTTGTTTTGGACATCATTCTGAACTCAGTAAATGAATCATGCTTGCACTGCAAACCTGGGAAAAATTTGAATGGAATAATTTTAAATCAGTAATGTATTAGCATGAAACCATATAGTGTAAAATGTTAAATATTATACTGAGAGCAGAAAAACAATTTATTTTTGTGCATTCAAATCACTTTTTTTTTCATAGCCAAAGTACAATTTCTTCTACATATGCAGCTGACTTTTTAACAAATATCACTAGTGTAGAGTTATTGTTTCCTTTTCCTTAAAATTATCTTTTTTGGATATTATCATAATTCAAATTATGGGAGTGTGTGTGTGTGTGTGTATGTGTGTGTATTTATTTATATATCCCATTCTGGCTGTGTTCTGTGGGTCTACTGTTCACATTCAAATGACTAGAAATATCTCTATTCATTTTTTTCCTTTCTTTTTATTGTTTTTAGGAAAGAGAACCACTCTATGCCCAGATCAACAGACCTAAGACCTAAGAAATAGCATTGACCCACACTCGTGGCACTTCAAGTCTCAAATGAAAACGCCAGTCTTGACAGGCCTTTGGCTCCTACTACTCTTACTAATATTATTTAGTTATCTCAGCTAATCAAGGATAATCATATCACTGGATTAATTCAACAAACAAGATGTTTTGCCAACGCTGTTTGGCAGAACATTGCTTTTTTGTTTTTTCCCTTATTTTTCAAAATCCTACTTTCCTAGGGCGGGGGAATGTCATCTGCATTCCTACAACTTTGAACTACCCAAACACCTTTTCTTCTTTTTACCTTTTGTTGTTTCTAGGACTCCATATAATGAAAGTAGGTGATCCAAAGCTATTAGATGACAACTCGTTGTTTTTATAATACAGAAACACAGAGAAAGCAAACACATCCTGGTCACCAGTTATTGAGCGACACAACTGCACATTTAAAGATATGGTAACTTTTTTATGGCCATCAAAAACTGTTCCTTCTGTATTTTCACCCAGTATACCAGCCTACAACAGCATATATGAAGGAAGTATTCAAGTGTTTCATTCCCCCCCCCCAATTACTTAAAAACTGGTGACAGACACTAGCAGCAGAATGCCTCCTGTGAAAATAATTCTTAACTTGAAGTCATGGAATCCCATTCCACCAATCATCAGTTTTGATTGAAAATGTTGCCAAATGGACCTTTTAATTTTCCATACATCAAAGAAGAGATGAAAATGCTGCTTTTTCTGTTTTGAATACTACTGCTATGAGTAGAGAAGGACATCAGATCTTTTGATGGAAAAACAAACTGTGCGTTATTTCCTAGGGAACTCTTAAAACAAAGATCAGTAAAGGATATTTTTTATTTCTTTGATACCTTGCTGCTGTGATGCTATGCAGACAAGTGTTTTTTTCTTCTCTCTGTGCCATTTTTGAAGAGAAAAAAAACTGTTTGCCAAATACTTCTACATCTGGATTTGATTGGGTTGGACTTTAATAATAACAGGATGGAGATGGCATGAATTTTGAAATAATGAACTTATTCTGCGATCCAATGGTTCATCTTTATCACTTTTTGTACATCGGAAAAATTCAAATGGGATTTTTATTTTATAACTTGAAATTTAAAAATAAAAATCTTAACTGTTAAAACTCTTTCAGTGTTTAAGGGGAAATGGCTTTAAAGAGTCCGAATGAAAATTGCCAGGTTTTCTTTTGTTTTGTAAATATAAATGTTAGGAGTTTTTTTTTTCCCCCACCATGACATCACACTGTAGGGAAGGTAGTAAATGATGGTGTTTCGGAAGCGTGGAAACCCCCATTTTGTGGTTCTTGTATCACGTTTGTTTGGTTTTGTTTTCACATGCTTATAGTTAGTGGGATAAAGCTGAAGTGCATTTCCCAACTACATTTTTGTTGCCTGAAACTAGCTAGGTTGATGGAGAACCCATAATCATACAATCTTGCTTTTATAATGCAACTCTTATCACATACTTTACATTTTTTGGAGAAAAATCACATTTCATACCCATTTCCTAATTTAATAAAAGCTGTTTACACACTACAGAAGCAAGTTTTTTAAAACTGTTTTTTTTAATATATTTATGTAAGAAAAGTGCAGTGTTTGGTTTCTATTCTTCGCACATGATTTGCATAAAGAATCTATATATTTTTGCCCTACAGAGAATTGTTATACAGGTCAAATATGTTTTCCTGATGTTCCTATGCAGATTACAATATATTGAACTTTAGTGGTTTAGCACTAAAAAAGAAGAGTTAAATAATTCAAATGATGACTTGTTTCAAGGATTATGCAGATTTTGTTTTTAAAATCAAAATACCAATATGCTTGTGTTTTCTCCTTTGATTATATAAGCCTGGAGTTATATTTCATGCATTTGAATTATTAAAGCATTTTACAAGAGTAGATGAAAACTGGTGATTTGGTGATATTAAAACTGAACTTGATATTTCCAGTTGGTTTTTTTCAACATAGGTACTGAATCAAAACGTGTGTGAAACAGTTGAATTATAGGCTTTAATATCGGTGCAGATCTAATGTACTTTTCCAGTCATTTCCTCTCTGTACTTTTTTGGTGTGCAACCTTGTTTCAATAAAAGACTCCATGTGGATTTTACAGAACATGTGATTGGTGATGTGAAAGAGAAACAAAAGAGAATTTGAGTCCAATTAAAGCAGAAAGTAGTTGTGCCCAAAATAAAAATTAACATTTTTGTTAAAGTCAGCTTGTTTTTCTTCATTTCCCCTTTCCCCAGCCTGTTTTTATCCAACCCACAAATCAATTTATTTTAACTTGATCATTATATATTTGTGAAAGGTGAAGATGGCCTGGGCCTGCACAAGCCTTTTCCCAGCCCAAAATATTCATCCATGTTGTGGTCGTTGTCAGCATCTCTGTCGCAAATGTGCATCAAAAGAAAAATGCAAAAAAGTATCTCTTTTTGTAACATATAAATGTTAGCTTTGTTTGTTTTTTACCTACGCAAAAAGATGACATCATTCAAAAGGACATTTCAACCCTGAAATATTGATGTACTGTATAGTCAATAGTGAAATCTTGCTAAACTAAGTTTTTATTGAAACACAAACATACAGAATTTGAAATATTTATAGATATTGTAGCATGGTGCGGACTCACAGCCAGTTCATTGATGATGGTTGTTATTGGGTTCCAATAACAAATAATATATATGAGAGAGAGAATTACAACTGGTATTAAGATATCATAAGGAAATTTGCTCTATACAAACCGCAAGTCTTTTCTTGAAATAAGACAATCCATGCTTAACTCATCCATCGTTAGATTATTCCTTTCTACCATAATCTAGAAGAAAAACAATACAGAAGCCTGCACTATACAAGTATTGTAGATAGGAAATATATCTACAGGAATCCATTCATCACTAGCACTAAGCTTGTCACTTTAAACTTTAAACCAGGGAATACATCCCATCCTGTCCTGTTTCCAATTGTTTCTTGATTCTTACGTTATTAATGTACTTTGATTCATTGTTGTCATTCAATTGTCTGATGAAATCTATGATTGAATAATGTACTGGGCACCTTCTTTGCAAAGACGTTTACTTTCTACTTCGATTTGTTTGATTTTGCGTTCTCACGTGTTTATTTTTTAATAGAAGAAAGATGAAAATGACTGTTTTGCAGTACATTTCTAGATCTACTTTAACTTTACCTCAGAGGAAAACCATTTGTTAACATCCGTTGAACATCTTCTTTCCCCTTATGTATAATGCATTCATCAGAAGAAATTTTTAGAGATTTTCCATTGATTTCTGTAAGACACCATGTAGTACTGTTGCAAATAAAAATGTTTAAAATCATGTTTATTCCTTTCTCTTATTCTTACGAAAGTTGAATATAATAGAAGAATGCAAAGCTGGGCATCTCTGTTTCTTTCTCTGCAAATATAATGCTGCATCATAATGTGCTGTCTTGAAAAGCTTTCATTGGAGTTTATAACCAATTCCTTGTGTATCTGACTACCATTTTCATCTTGGATTTTCTTCCAGAAGGTGATAGAAAGAGAGACAGAAAGAAACAGAGATAGATGATATAGATGGAAAGAGAGAGCGATTGAACATTTTGATAAGGCTAATATTCATCACAAGTCAACTTGAGTTTGATGTTGCAACAAAATTCTCTTCTTTAGTAGCTCAGCCATTTATTGTTAGTTCCAGGTCCTTCTTGGATAGTTAAAGGTGCCTGAGAGATTACTAGAAATTGGGTTGATGCAGTTGTGTCCATTTTTGGAATGAAGGAGTAATCCCTTTAGCCTGGAAGAAGGTTTGATATATCCTCTCTCAAGAAATCACAGTTGGACACAATAGTCCTGGATAACTATTGTCCAGCCTTGTCTTCTTAATCACTTCCAGATCTTAGTAAGGCATGGAGAATTTTACCTTTGCAGTAAAGAACATTTAGAAGTAATAGCATTTAACCACCTAAGCAGTTTCAATTTCAACAATTCACTGAAGGCTTCAACAGTATCACTGACAAGACAACCTCAAAGGTATCCAGAAAACCATCTGCGTTCATTAGATACTTGAGTTGGACCATATTAAATGACAGAGAAATATATCAGTCACTAATAAACAATCATGATGGTTTTCATATACTTCATGAAAATTCAATTCAATAATCAATTGTTACTTTCTATTTAATCCATGGAATGAAATAAAATCAGCGACTACAGAGGTATTCTAAAAATAGTAACATGATTTGAATATGCTGGACAGAAATTTTTTTGTTTCTGTAAAGCTATATCTCTGGTGAAAGTGTAGTTGTGCTCCCTTTGTTTGCAAGATGAATTGTGTGAAAACAAGATTATATACATCATATGACTTTTCTATCTTTCCACAAGACAGTGAGAAATAAGACAAGATATCCTATAATGATTCACTGATTAGTAGAGACTTTATCTGTGTTCTTGTGAAAATCTCCTGCTGGACAAAAGGTTATCAGACTCATTAATGAAACACATATCTAGCAATTAGGTTTCCTCCAGTTCCAAATAGTCTTATCTCCATGGTAATGTTTGCCTTGCAGTCCATCTATCAAGTGCAAAATAGTTTTATCAGCAAACTGAAACAAATGGCAGGTTCAAAAGGTATGTCTTTTGGAGGCATTAGCAGTGGATCCTCTCTATCTTAAATTGAGCCAATAACAGGTTGCTTTGTAATCCTAAAAATGAGTGCAGATTTGGTTAAAGGGCAAAGGGAGCATAGAATTTGCAGACAGTTGAACAATTCTGATTCTTATGTTATATAGCCATAAAGTAATAGTAATTCAGGCCGCCGGATGCCATCTAATTCGCCAAAGCAAGAATGTCATCTAATTTGAAGCAATTTGAATGGCCTTGAACTTTCAGTGGGTATCAAGGGTTCTTGGGCAGAATGCAGTTTGGAAGCCATGGGCCAAAGGCTCCCCTCAGACATGCTGATAAGAAGCTTTGGTCAGCCAGTGCTGAAGGAATAGGGTGAAATGGCATCATCAGCTTGCATCCCAGGACATAACCAAGTCAGCCAATTGATGCAGAAGAAGGTAGAAAGAAAATATTACCTGGGATGTCCTAGCTGAAGGAGAGGAGCAGGAAAGATGGCAGTCTTCATGGCACCCCTGCACCTGCTAATCAAAGGTTGCAATTACTACAGCAAAAGTATTGGGAAAATTGACAAGAGGGTGAGTTGAATTAGAGGGGTTGGTATAGAGACCATGTGGAAGAGAAGGAAAAAGTGGCAAGATGCACTAGCAAAGCCTTCTTTGCCCATGGAGACTCACTGAGGATTTTCCTCGGATGAAAGATGGAACAATCAAGAGCTCCTGGCTTCAGTTCATCTGGACCACAATCCACCCCAAATGGTCTCATTGGACTTCCAACCATGCATGAAACAAAACACACTTTCAGTTACTGTATGCCCTTACAGGTGACTTCCATGCCATGGCCCATACTCAGGGTTGGTAGGAAACGTAGTACAACAGAGACTCATGTATTGCTCACCCCTTGACTAGCTTAAGTCTCTGTGTGTGTGATCTGTTCAATCCAGTCACCATTATCTTATGCTCAAATCATGGATGTGAATCAGTAATAATACAACCACTTGTTACTCTTTTGTGATATTGTTGCATTAGAACATATCAAATACTAACACCCAGTTTCTGGAAAAATGTGCTCTCGAAATATGCTTTGGAATATCTATCTCATTCTTGGAATTTTGTTGAGAAATTCTTTTCTCTGAGCTTATTGTACCAATGTATTGTACTATACATCTCACCATAAGCATCCCTGAGTGCCCATGCCTCCTGATACAAAAAAGGGATTTCTTTCCTCCTGATGTTTTGCTTTGGCATTTAAATGCAAAGGCAGAACTGTAGTAGTTTCCCACCAATATATTTGCACAACCTCTTTTTAAATAATTCCCATTAGCTGTGACAAGCCTGAAATTCCATTTCATAGCTCTCTCAGGTACCTTAACCAAATATAGCTACATTTAGTTAAGCTGCTCTGTATCTATGAGACATTTTGTTTTTGGTTTGTTTGTTTTGGGAAAAATATTTTATTATATTAAATAGGTACATTGCATAGAAACATGGGGGGAAATTGGCATTTTGGCTGTTGCAGCTATTTAGTGTTAGTTTACACTTAATATACATTCAGGACAGTAAAATATTCTATACACATCCAAAAATATGTATATTTTAAATATAAGGTGCTGATTTGCTACTACCCTATGCTCATTCTGTCGTTAAGCTCAGCCCTGGGTTTCTTTGTTGTTACCTGTATCTATATTCTCAACTACTAATGTGTGAATTTGACGGGGAGATCCACAGACATTTCATTAAATATTTATCCTTGCAGTAATGATTAATAGTGAAAGTATTCACATTAGAAGTTAAGCCATAATCAGAAAAATCTTTGTTAACTTCTAGAACATAGGAGTGGAAAAAGACAAGCTCTTAGAGCACTCAAAATAACTTGTTTAATTATTAGTCTTCCTTGGAACAGATATGAAGGGGGAAGGTTAGCATGAGTCCATCAGGTGATATACCAGTTGACAGGTTTTCTTGAAGGCTTCTCATAATGGACTGGCAGATGTGACACATGTTCTAGCTTAATTGGTTGACAAGCTACTTATTTTTGTAGGGGAGCAAAAGGCAGTGATTTATTTTTCAACTTTGTACCTGTGTGAAACAATTTTAAGTTGGATGCAATTCAGTAGTATACATACGAGCACAAAGTATTGGTGGAGGAAGGAGCAGAGAGGTGTCCTTGGTGTCCTTATTTAAGCAAGACTTTCCTGTATATTGTGAAAAATAGTGATTGGTATTATTACTTTAAATAAACTACTTTGCTCTTTCATCATCAAATAGTTTTACATCTTAATGGAATCAATGACTGGACCATTCACACATAAAGACAGGAATGTTCAATATATTCCAAACTCAAATTATTCCAAGTATACAAAACAAATTTTATGGTGTTCTATATCTGAATATATATGTGTGTGAGTGTGTATGTGTGTGTATGTATATTTAGTGTTGGTACCCCTAAATGTTGGTGTCCTAGGCCAGTATTACTCATTCTTAATCTACCCTATTTATACTTTTTATGTTAGGCATTTAAATACATTTTACTGATGTGTTTAGTACCCATAGGTTTCATTAACCTCTCAAAGGGCTCCATGAAACCAAAAAGTCAAGAACCCCTTCCTTGCTGAATATCCAACCGATTTCTCCATCCACAAAATTGGTGGGGAATTTTGAAATCCCATTTCTTCTGAAATATGTTGCATTTATGGGAAGTTCTCACTATAGCAGGGGAGGCCTGCTCTATCTATTCAAAGGAAAATTCAAATGAAAGGAGTTGTGTTCAGTCATATCATAGGTAGCATTTTGCTTCCACAATGATTATCAAGATACTTAGGGACAATCCAGAAACAACACATGAATGCAATAGCATTCTTCCAGCCATGTTCCTTAGTAAATAATATCATCAAATATACTGCTGCTGTTACTGGAGATCAGATCCATCGAGATATATAGACATATATAAAATCCATCACAAATAATGCCTTTACCACTATAAATTTTAAAAGTAACCACCTGGGTGGATTTCATCATTTAAACTGGACTTTATGGGTTCTCCCACAATTCAGATTCATTAAAAGATCTAAGATTATAACATTCTGCAAAAAGGAAGGAAGGAAGGAAGGAAGGAAGAACCTTCTGTCCAATGCATTGTTTGGAAATGCAACCATCAGCTCAGATAAGATATGTCTGTAGAAGTGAATTTCCTCCAAAAAGCAAATTGTTTTCTATGTGATGGTTTTCCTATATTTCTTCAGATGTGGTAAGCATTTTATAAATAATCAAGCCTTCTAGTAACTATGTTCTTGGAGCACTAATAAAGTGTTTTCTTGTTTTAATTGCACAACTGCTTTGGCGAAGACACTGTTAAACAGCTTTTAAAGTTGAAATGAATCATATCTACAAGATCATCTGGTCCACATATTTGAACATTCTCACAGAATTCTAGAAGGCTAATCAGACAGGGCTTATCGTTACAAAAGTCTATGGATTCTTCTTTAGCACAGTTAGCCCTTTATACTTCATAATCTTGTATTAAATAATGTACAAGATTAATGTTGATTAATTGTCAATTCACATGGATTAAAAGATTGCGGCTCTTTAGTTCCTCTGTAAAGCACATTTTTAAGAATATTGTCCATTTCCCAATCGTGGCCAATCTTACAGACATGCTATTTGTTAGAAGATAAGCAATTTCACATTTCAGTTATTTAGAACTCTCCGATGGGTACAATCT